TTCAAATGTCCAGCTCAGTCCTGCTGGCTGCAAAGCAGGGCTTTGGGGTTACTCTTGTGGGGTCAGCAGGGACCTTTTCTGTTTGTGCAATGAAATCAGGGAGCAAGGGTCTGCTGGAGAACTGAGCTGCTGGGATTCCAGTGGGGTTGTCTTTCAGTGGAAGGGCTGAATTTAATAAACCCGATGCACTCTTTCTCTTGTTGTGCTGCTTAGCTCTAACGGATTGCTGTTGATGATTTGGAATTATTTTGTTTACGTAGTCTGAGAGCTTTGTTTTAAGCAGCTGGGTGGAAATTGAGATGAAGACAGTCTTAATTCACTTTTAATAAAAGATCAATGAGTTTATTGTGAAGAAATAGGATACAGATGTAAAGTGCACTTGATAAAAGAATTAAATGTGTGTTTAACCTTCCCTTTTTGTTTTTTCAGTGCTACTGGTGCTTGACCTTTTTTGTTTTCCAGACTATTCTCTTTCTTGGTAGTTTTACATTTTAAGTTCCACTTGGACTACAAAAACAAACTCTGCTGATGTTTTCCATCTCAAATGCTTACCAAATCCCTTCGATTTTACAAAATATTCAAAAAGTAATCTCCAGACTTAAGCCTCATTAAAACCTTCGCCCTTCCTGTGGGACAAAAGTTCAGAGAAGTTCTGGTCGATTTTGATTTGGAAACAGTAAAACAAAAAATATCACGGTGTGAAATATTAATTTAGGCTTGGCAGCTTCACTGTAAAATATGCTTCCAGATGTTTCCAATTAAAATGCAGCATATCTAGTAGTATGAGGGGGGAAAGCACCTTAAGGGTTTTTTTTTGTTTATATGAGGGAAGGTGTCCCCGACTTCTCAGAAAATGAAGTCTTGTAGCTATTTTTATTAAGTAAATGGTCGTGTTTATATTGCAATGAGTTGACTTGGTAGAAGAAACCACGTACTCAGGATTTCCTGAGCTATACTACTTTTTAATCAAGTACTGTTGATCTTTTTAATCAAGTTATTTGACAGATGCTTCGGTCTGTGTGTCTGTCCCCCCCGTGCCCTTTTCCTTATATTTCAAAGAACATAAAGCAAAATTAGAGACATCAGACTGCTGAGAAGGACTAAATGTATGGAGCAGCCATACATTTAGTTAGAGGAATGAGTTAAAAAATATATGTAAATATCATGTCCTTTTAGAGTTGTGTGACTGTAAGATCATGGGAGGCACTTTGAAAACACAGTGATTGGACATGCACGTGTATCACAGTGGTAGTAGTGGTCACTGAGGGAAACTACAGCTCAAAGGCTGCAGTAATTAAAAGCAGTTGTCCAGGGTTAGGAAATGGCTGTCCAAATGCATTGTTTCCAAAGTCAGCTAGTTATGGAAGCATCCGTATAGCAAACGTTGGACATATGTGCAGTTGTGTCATGACAGAGTGCATTTTATCAGCAGATGGTTACTGGGTTTACGAAGCTGAACCAGAAGAGAAGTGCTATGGGATGGTCTGCAAGGTGGTTGTTTTGGTTGAAAACCTTGTAGTTGAATATTTCCAGGGTGGTTTGAGCAGTACAAACAGTGCTATGGGGACTTCTATACTGTGAGACCAAAAGCGAGATGTTTTCAGTTGTGGGTTTTTAACTGTAGTCTGATTTTTTAAATGTGCACTAATTCAATCTGAAGCCAAAGAGAAATATTTGAAAAGCAAAGTCTGAAAATCCTTACAAAGTTCTTCTGTGATAATAGCTCTGCAGTAGGAGATCCCCTTTCTCTTCCTGATGTACGTTGGGTGTACGCTGCAAACATTGAGTAAGAAGGAATATGAATAGTACTCTTGTGGACAGGGCTTTTTTAGACAATGTAAATATTTGAGTCCATGATGATTTTGAAGTGTGCCTTTTTCTTGAATACAGGCCCTCCTACATGACATCTAATCTGGCTGGATTCTCATGTGGAAATTTTTCACAGCCTAGGAATAAGAGGATAAGGGAAGAAAAGAGTTTGATCCATTATCATTTACTTTCATACTGAGTTTTTAACATTTTTGAGAAGGAAATGAATTGATTGCAATCACTTGAGGAATGGAAAAAAAAAGGAGTGGAAGCCCTTAGAAATCACTCCGCTTGATGTAGCGGTTTCTGTGGATTGCCTTTTTAATTATGTCAATATAAAGAGAGTGCCAACACTTGACTGGAAAACTCACCCTTGTGTGTCCCTGGGTTCCCACTTCCTCTGCTGAATGATTCATGGGATGTGGGTTTAAAACTGGTAGAGGAAATAAAATACCTTTAAGGGAGGAAAAAAAAAATCTTACTTCTATCATGTTTGGAAATAGTTTTAAAAAGCAAGCAAGGATACTGAAGAGCAGCCATGGTTTGTTTAACTTTTAGCTCTAACTCTATTTTATGTCTCTGGTTGGTGGGACCTCTCTGCGTCATCGCCTCCGTGTCACTCATCTTCAGGGGAACTTATTGACAGAATTCTAAATTTGAGGGAAGAGGAAACCTCAGAACTGTTTACTTGTTTTTGCCACCTAAGTTAGGTGTTTTGATCCCCCAAATAAATACGGAATTTTCAGTGATGGATCTGGGGCTCTGAACTAGTTGGCACTGCTGAAATGTACCACCCACACCTCGCTGTGCTCACTTCTGCTGCTTGGTCTCCATACGCATTTGGTGAGCATCAATGAGTGCCTTTTTTCCACATTTAGGAATTCAATTCCACCCCTTTGCTCCTTACACACTTCCACATCAGATGCCATTGCATCAGACTGCCCCTCTGGTGCCATCTGTCAACCACCACCATCCGCCTCTGACATTGTGGGCCCAGGTAATAAGATGGGAGGCATTGCTTCTGGATCAGCCATCGTAATTTACTGTCTAGTGGCAAGATCTTGTAGAAGGACAATAAGTAAGCAATCTACGTATGTAGGAGCCTATCTGTGCTTGCAAGAGAGGCATCTCTGCCACCCTGTGCTTGTGCTTTGGTGGCTGTTCTGAGATGCTTGCCTGACTATTTCTGCCTCTGGCCAACTGAGAAAATGTCTTTAAATCCACAAGTAACTATGCTTAATTTTTTTGCCCGTTAATGAAAAGGAATATTTTTTCCCTAACCCTTAATCTGTTTCATCTGAATAATAGTGTCTAAGCACGTTCTTTAAGCATTGCATTCCCATCTCTTTCAACTGCTTAGATAGTTTAACACTTCAATGCCAGGTTGAGTATTTTCTAATGCCATGAAGTTTAAGCTCTTCTGTGGAACTGAAGGAATATTGTTTTCACTTCAGATAGAAATGGGAACAAAATTATTCTTCATGTGGACAGTTGTGACTTCCATCAGACATAACATTTGTATTTCTGACTGAACAATTTAAACTTGATAGGACATATATAATGAAAAAGTTCATTCTTTGCTCTAAATACTGTTGGGAGTTGAATAGAAAGAGAATTAAAAGAAGCTGGAATCTCTGTAAACATCCAGAAAACGGCCTCCAAAATCACGTGGGGTGGATCTGTAAAGGAACAGCAGAGTTTGTGAATGTGACTTTTTACAGAATTATAAAATCACAGAATCACAGAATGGCCAGGGTTGGAAGGGACCTCAAGGATCATGAATCTCCAACCTGCTGCCACATGCAGGGCCACCAACCTCCACATTTAATGCTAGACCAGGCTGCCCAGGGCCCCATCCAACCTGGCCTTGAACACCTCCAGGGACGGGGCATCCACAGCCTCTCTGGGCAGCTGTTCCAGCACCTCACCACTCTCTGGGTAAAGAATTTCCCCCTGATGTCTGACCTCAATCTCCCCTCCCTCAACTTAAAACCATTTCCCCTCGTCCTACACATATCAACCCTTTCGAAGAGTTGATTCCTCTCTCCTCTGTAGGCTCCCTTTAGGTATTGAAAGGCTGCAGTGAGGTCACCCCGCAGCCTTATGTTCATTGTTTTATTTTATATAATGAACATAATTATGTTCATTGATGTTGAAAATAAAATCAACAATTAGACTTTAGTACTTGGCAAAAATATGAATTGTTTCTTTACAAAATGATCATCATCATTAACTATTTAATTCAAATGAAGAACTCTTAATTGTACTGAGGACAGCATGATGAAATCCTGAGATGTTTACAGTCTATTTTCTGTATACCTGTTTTTCCAGGCTGATATATGTAGTGAATTTCCAGTTTGAAAATTAATTAAATATTGCCACATATGGCTATGGGGACTGAGAGTAAATGGATTAAATAAATAATGGCTCCAAGATAGATCTTTGTTATAAGTTATAGGCCAATGAATAATCTTATTTGAAATAATTAAAAAAAAAGATTTGATTAGGTTGTTATTGCTGAGGTGGTGATTTTCTGTGTAGCAGAAGGGAAAATAATATCACTGTTTAATTTTGGGGAATGTCTGCAAAGAATATCTTTTCAATAAATCAAAATACTCGAATTTCATAACGATTACCTGTAAGCTATTCCAGGAAAAATTCTGTGCATTGACAAGACAGTATTGCTATTTAATGTTCAATGGACAAATTGCTCTATCGCTAATGCAGTAAAAATAAAATCCTACTTGCTGTGAAGTGTTCTTTTTTTATTAAAAGGTTGGGTTTTTTTTTGTCGCTGTTACTTTGCTAGAATGAAGAACATTTGAGACAAGCTGCTTTCTGAGGTGCTGAGTTTTTTAGTGTCATCACCAGCTCAACAGATCACTAGAGGATAACTTAAACACAGAGTTTCAGTAAGGAGAGCCAAAATTTCTTGAGTTCATCTTGGATAACATAAAATATACTGTGTTAATTTTATTTTTTTCAAGTGCCAAGGTTAAGTCTGTATTCCTGAGCTAATGCAGAATTTACTAAAGGAATAAGCTTGTGTTTACAGTGAAGCTGTTTCTTACTCAGTTTGTTTAGGTTAGATTAAAACCATTCCTTGCTTGTAGGAAAGTCTGGAAACGTGTAGCCAGACTGTATCTGTGCAACTGATCTGACTCTTCTTTTTCTCCTTTCCTCCTTTGTAGGGTCAGTATAGGCCCTCTGATTTGTTGTGTCCAGAGACGTACGTTTGGACCCCTATTGAGCAATGTCTCCCACTGCTCGAGCTGTCCAAATACTCTCGTTTCAACCAGGATGCAAAAGCAGGTAAGGACACAAGTAATGATAAATGATGTAAACCGTCTCTCTCATATTTACTGCACGTTGGTATTGTTTGCTTCTGAAAAGTTATAGAAATGTTGCCTTTAAGGGGGAAGAAAGTTTAAAATTCACAACTTCTGCGAGCATTATCAAGTAGATCGTTTTATCTCTGAACACATGGAACACAAGTTTCAAATCCATTCTGTTTTACAGGTAGTATGTAATTCAGAATTGACATTTTGGTGTTTTTCAGGTAATTTTGTATACTGTTTTGTGAACAAAAACAAATCCTCCCTTAGATTCTAGTCTGATGAGCTCATAAAGAGGCAAAGTTAGAATCAGTGCAGGAAAGTGAAAGTGAAGAAGCATAAAGGCATCAGGTGTAAAGAAACAGACTGCTAGGTTAGCTATTCAGTCTAGCTGAAATTGTGAAGAATACAACAGTAGAAACGCCACAGCATCTTGAATTACATGGAGCATAAGTTGTACATTCTGTAAAGTAACTACTTATTGATTTGCATTGAAAGGTCAAAATTATTTTAGAAAATCAGGTCAGATACACTGCAAGACACAGATAATGATTTAAAGTTTGGGTACAATTTATATGGGCTGTACCGTACAAATAGAGAAGGACTGCAGGTAGCCATGTGATATGGTGGGAAATAGCCTTGGGAATATGGAATGTGGTTGGATGCACTGTGGAAAGAAAAAACCACAACCATTAGAGATCTCTATGTTTAAGGTACATCATATCATCATCACCCAGATATGCCATTAGATTGGTGAAAGGAAATAGGAGAAAACAAGCGGTAAAATAAGGAATGGTTTTGGAGGCTAGCGGTGTTAGAGATATTTTTGTTATGCAGAAGGAAAAGAAGTGTATTCATTTAAGACTGACAGCTAAATTACTCTGCCTTTGACGATGTTAACCCCATAGAAGCTAAAGGGTATCATCTTCTCAATTCTGTGAAATTCCTGTGGGATACCAGGCTTTTAGAAACTGCAGGGTATAAAACATTGCATCGTTATCAGCACAAAATATCTCACTCCAGACATTGCTGGAGCTGTGACTTATGTCCCGTGGTTAAAGGAAATTAAAACATAGCTACGTGTTGAAGTGTGTTGGGCCTGCTGAGAGCTTAGCCATTTGAGGTTTAAAGATTTGCTAGCTTTAAGGAAGTTACTTCTCAACAGCAGAATCAGTTTCCTCCTCCTTTCCTTTCCTTTCCTCTCCACAATAGTCAGCAATATGAGTTTAATTAAGTTACGGCAAATTACAAAATGAGCAATAGAAACGATGATGTGCTTTATTCCTTGTGAATAGCTTTCTGTAACACAGCCCTCAGCTATGTCAGTTAAGTAGGTCATGATTTATCAGCATTGGGACTTCCTACATACAATCTGAGGGCAATAACCAGACCCACTAAACAACTGGGAGGAATGGTGTGGCTTGCACCATTGCCCAAGGCGATAAAACAGTCACTGCAAATGGTCATCTTTTAGTATGGTCTGTAATGCCAGAAGATTTCTGAAATGTTACCTCACACCAGTTTGTTCATCATATTTGGCAATTTTCAAACTCCTTTTTCCCTCCCATGAAAAAAAAGATAGCTAATAAATGTGCTAGTTGCAGGTTATGAAAGTGCTACTTCAGAACAGAGTGCTGCACACTCTGGCCTGCCAAGTCTCAGTGATGGGAGGAGGGTTGCTGAGTATTCATGCCCCTTACCACTCAGAGCTCTTTGCTATTATCAGGTTTTCTGAAAAAAACAGAGATATTCACAGAAAATAGTAGAAAATTTCTGAAGTATTAGGAAATATTCATCATTATTTATGGAGGATTGTGCCTGTTTTACATTATTTGGTTGTCCCATGCTTCAGTGTTTTCAAATGTTTTGAAGTATTGTTTTCCATGTCCTTGTCTGACGTCTAATACTTTTGTTAACAGTTGGAGGATGAAGAGAGGAGAGGCAAACTGAACGAAGTTGTTAACTCTTTATACCTCAGAGATGAGTCTAGAAAAGTGTCTAGCAGTTAATAACTGAATAAAGCAACCACAGGCACTGTAATAGCTCACCTTTTTATTACTTAGGGTGGTAAATCATGGGTGCCCAGCAGCTTGAAATAGATCCAGCTCTTGACTTCTGGCCAGTGTGCTGAGATTCAGCCTTACTTAAACCGAAAACACTCCAGTCATACAGAGAAAATGATGAGCTGTGCCAGCAAACTCTTAGATTTTATATTTTAATAAACCACGCTGGTAGCCTCTTCGTGTGCAGTTCCTAGCTTGTATTGGAAAACACCAGTGACTTTAGGGGGGGAAAAAACTGCATAGCAATGTTAAAACAACATTTGTGGTTAAAAGGTTATACCTTTTGTCAAATGTTCTTTTCTAAATTACCAATTTTACCTACATTACACATGCCGTGCAGATTACACATGCTGAACAGATTTTTTTATTTCTGTTGCCTGGCATCATCTTATAAATGAAAGAGGTTTATGAAGGTTCTGATGTGTTTATTATTAAGCAACAACGAGTCATTTACATACAAATAAATCAGCAGTTAGTGAGGCAGGGCAGTAACTGAGGGTTTGGATAGTGATGAGCTCTGAAAATAGAGGCTATGCTAAACTGCATTTTCTTGGGGTTGATGTACAGGCCACGTGTTCCTACTTTGTAAGAAAGAAATATATATGAAACGGAGCTGCCAGTACTGATGGAGTTGTACTGAAGAAAGTAGAAATGAATTCAAGATTACTCTGCAGGAAAGTACTTGTCTGTGACTTGGACAACGCATTGAAACTAGTGTCAGAGCCACATGATACTGTGGCCATGGTCAGTCTTTCATGCTAGTCCACTACCTCTTTGCAGAACTGGTCCTCAGCATTTTACCTCACTGGCACTTTCACTAGCAGTTATGGCTATGGAATAAGCACAGTATGAAAAGTATCACGAATAATTTACTTGGTATCTCAACATACTTTTATCCTTCTGCTTCCCATTTTTCTGAATCAAACCCACTGATGTCTTTTCAAACATCTGTTGAGAATTTTGGTTTGTTGCGCCCAAGTCAAGACTGTGAAAATAGTTTTTTTGTGAAGTATGATAATCTGCTTTGGGGATGGTAATTAAATTACTGGGAAACTGCAAATCTTTCTTCCTATCACCACTGGACTGTCGACACCTTCAAGAAGCAACTCCAGATAAGGATAGATCCAGTCTTGGTGTAACGTAGTGATTTCAAAGCCTTCAGCTTGTCGTGTAACTGGGGTGTGTGTGCAAACCACTGTAAGCAGGGTGGTTTGTTTTTTGCTTTTTTTTCTACATAGGTAAAAGGCAGTATTTGATCAGGGTTGATGGGCATGGCCCACAGAAGTCTCAGTTGTAATCTGCATCCCACCTTCCGTGTTCAGTACTTGGAGCAAAGTCTATGAGTATTGCAGATCAAAACTGATTTTTTTTATCTGGACAGGTTTGCTTACTGATATTAATAATTGTTTAGCTAGTACACATCTGTTCAGTGTCCTGTATAACTAACTAATAATAGAACAAAATCAAAATGCAAACGTAATACATCAATTAAAATCCAAGCCCCTTTTTTAGTATTGAAACACACACGTGGCAGAGACACAGACTCCTCTGTGTAGGCTTTGCAAATTCATGGACAGAAGACATTTTGCTCCAGAGACAATAGTCTAACACAAAACACCATGGGTGCTAAAAGATGGTATAAGGAAACGGAGAAACAACTCCAGTTTTTGTGGTAGATATTTCCCACACATTGCAGAATCATCAACTCCATTTTCTTTGCTATGTACAAAATTGAGGTTTTAATAGATTTGCTGCATTGTTCTGCTGCATGTAATAAATTAGAGCAGTAAAAGGCAAGCAACATTCCAGAGATTTAATAACTTCAGAATCCTGATCCTCTTGATTAGGCATATTAATGTTTCTTGAGAGGAACCGGGGGATTTTTAGTTCATTAGTAAATAAAACTTCAAGCTCTTACCCAGAAATCTGCAGGCTTGGGCTAAACAAAAGCGTATTTATTTTAAATATGTATTTGTATACATAATGCTCTCACTAGAAAAATAATCTAGAAAAATAACTATTTCAACAACCTTGGTTTCTAGTGCCAACTTTCAACACATTCCATTTACAGTTTAGCTACTATTCTTTGCTAATAAAAAGGACTTATTTCAAACGTTTTGCATTTATTGCATCTGTGAACACTGAGTATTTTTTTTTTTTTGCTGGTTGTTCACTTCTGATGGCTTAGGTCAGTGGTGAAGTAATGTATCGGAGCAGTGTCACATCTTTAAATCTCATCAGCTGAATTAACATAAACGCCAGTATGCATTAATGTTCGTAAGCGTCCTGCAGTGCAGGTTAATGAACAAGGGGATCCATGCGTTAAAGTTCTTGATTGTGAAAATGTGGTCACAGAATATCACACGTGGAGAACTTGTTTAGAACTGTGCCATCATCTGCTTTGTGGAGAAACTGCTGGTCTCCTCAAAGCAACATCCATTAAAGTTATGGTGCAGAGAGTTTTGAAAACATCCTAGTAAATTCTCTTAGATTGATAACTAAATTATTCCCAATAACTCTTTGCTTTCTTATAACAGCAATAGGCAATATAGACAGTGCCAATATAAGGTGTAGCCAGGCAAATTTTCACTCATTTTTATTATACTTGGATTAAATTGCAATGGCTGGTGTGGGATTTTGGTCTAATACGCAAAAATACACTCAAATCCTCCAGCGGTTCTGTAGTAAAAAGGTAACAAACTTTATTCACTTGGTTAATTTGTGGTACTAAACAGCTGGTACTGCAGCTTTGAAAATGGTTTGGAGCCACTTATGCAACAGAAGCAGTGCATGAAATGGACTAAGCATTGGAAGCTAGGGTGAATCATCAGCTCTGGAGTATCACAAAACAATGGCCAAGAAAGAAAGGACTTTAAATTGTAATTGAAGTACAATTACACTATGAACTCCATTT